GGTGCAGACTCTGGGACAGAGTTTGGGTGCTGGATGCAGGCTGGGACGGGCTGGGGGTGCAGGAGGGGATGAGGAGTGCAGGCTCTGGAACTGAGTTTGGGGGCCAAAGGAGAGGTGCAGGCTCTGGGAGGATGTGTGTGCGTGTGCAGCGCTTTCCTGGAGCTCCTAGGCAGGGCAGGCCGGGAGTCTCCATATGCTGCTATCCCCAAGCCCTGCCCCCACAGCTTCCCACTGGCTGGAGGGGTGCTTGGGGCGGGACACAGACACCCCCCCCCCCAGGCTGCAGAGAGGGGTCAGTAGCCACGTGGAGTGAGCAGGCAGGAAGCTGCTCAGCTCCACTGTGCTGCTGGTGGGAGTGGGGGGCCCGGGCTGTTTTAAATGGCCCGGGGGAGGTGCGGGGCGGGGGCACCCGGGGCCAAGGGAGAGACCCAGCCTCAGACAGTGCTGGAGCCGGTCCCGTGGTGCCTGGGCACCAGGAATATTCCTGCTGCCCAGGCACCACAGGCCCATAGAACTCGCCACCTGTGAATAGTATTAATGAGCAGTGTGACCCCAGCTTTCGTTTAAGACCTCACATGACACTTTTTGGTGAACTAGAATGTACATACATACTGTACCAGAAACAGGACATTTGGAGTTCACTGTATTAAAAATGCAAATGCTTATACACTATTTTGAGGTTGTATGGGGTTTCTTTAGCAGGATAACAAGATTAATGCAACCTTTGGAAGGTATTAGGAAAGTCAAAGGGCTTTTTGGAACAATACGTGTGAAGTGGATTTCCTAAAAAAGTACTTTGAGGTGAGGGAAATGCAAATTTTTGCTACCCAAGCCAAACTTTTGAAGATGTATCATGTGGAGAGAGATCCACTGTGTACTAATCACCTGCTTCTGGAAGCTCTACATCAAAGGTCCCTGAAAGGTATAAAGTGTGGACTGAGTGTGCTTGTTCTCAGCTGAAGCTGTGATGAACCTATAACCACAAGGACTCTGATTTGGGTGGAGGTTTGAGGGGGCTACCCATACCAGAATCCACGTTAAGGTTAGGGTGATCTCTGGTAAGCTTATTAGCATGCACATAGGTTCTTGTAGGTATTTTAATGTTTTTTCTCTGTAGTGCTTTCATGGATAACGTGTGGAGTGGGCAGGAGGCTTCTCCCCATAGCGGTGCGCTGGGGGCACGCCCCTGTGGTGGAGCCTGGGTGGGGGGTTAGATCCGTGGGATGGGACCAAGCCCCTCCCTCCCCTGAGGGGACCCGGCTTCCTCGCGCTCTCAGCGAGCGCGTGACCGTCACCTCGCCGGCCCAACGGTCACAGGCGGCAGCGCGAGCTCCCTGCTCCTGTCCGCAGAGCCGCTGCGGCCAGCTCGGGAGCCAGGCACCGGAGGGAACGCGCTGTCTGCGCACGCGCCGGTCGGCTCAGGTCTCGGTCTGGGTCTGTTTCTAACCCGCCAGGCGGCCACTGGCCCGGAGCAAAGGCTGTTTCCCCGGGTCCAGCCGCGGGGCCGCCAGCTGCCGTTCGGTGGAGGCTCCTCGTAGCGGGGAGGGGAGGGGACGCTTTGCCACATAGGCACTGCGGAGAGGAGAGGTAGCGACCGGCTGTGGGGGGAGCTTGACAGGAGTGGGGGGAGCTGAGACACCCCCTGACAGCTGGGGAGGGAGCTTGGCAGGAGAGGGGGGAGCTTTGACCACCCTGACATGCTGTGGGGGGAGCTGTGACCCCCCCCCCGGACGGCTGGGGGGGGAGCTTGGCAGGAGAGGGGGGAGCTGAGACACCCGAGCGGGAACTGGGGGAGCGGAGACATTCCCCTGACAGGCTGTGGGGAGAGCTTGGCAGGAGAGGGGGAGAGCTGAGACACTCCCCTGACAAGCTGTGGGGGGAGCTTGGCAGGAGAGGGGGGAGTTGAGACACTCCCCTGACTGGCTGTGGAGAAACAGAGTCCCCCTCATAGGCAGCAGGGCTGGAGAGGGGTGAGCCCAGGACCTGAGTGCAATTGCCTCTGCGCTGGGAGAAGTCCTAGCCCCTGTCAGCCTGGGCCTCACTATGGGTCTGGATGAGCCCTGGATCTCGCTCCTGCTGATGGTTGGCACCATGATGTTGGTAGGAGGGTGCCGGAAGCTAACCCGACGCCAAATGCACTCCCGACGCCTTCAGCCTCGCACGTTTCTCCTGGAGCTGTTTGCCACTTTCCAAATCTGTGCCTGCACCAATGAGCTCCGGCTGCTGGCCAATGTGCAGCCCAAGCCACACGTTGCCCTCACCCTCACCTATGTTTTTACTGTCCTGCATGGATTGACTCTGACTGGCAGCACATGCAACCCCTGTGGCACCCTGCAACAAATCTTGGATGGTGGGATCTCGGTCAAACAGGGCGGGCTGAAGATTGGAGCCCAGTTTGCTGGTGCAGTGCTGGCCAGAATTTACATGCACCGTATCTGGTCCATGGGGATCATCAAGGTGCACTCTGAGGCACTGGCCGAGGGCTGCAGTAATCCTATCCAAACCACCGAGACCCAGGCTTTTTGCATAGAGCTGCTCTTCTCCACTGTGTTCCAGCTGACCATACTGCAATTTGAGGCAGTTAAACCCAGGCTCAGAGTCCACCTAATTGCTCTTCTTATTACTATGCTGGTGTATGGAGGTTAGTTACCTTTTTTTTTTTGTCCATGATTGTTTCAAGTTATACATATTTTTGAATTATGTGATGTGTTAAAAAATGTGTGCATGCAAAATTGTTTCTGTAGTGCTGTTGTGCTTTACAGCGGACAAAATACACTGAACAAGACCTTGATCCAGTAAACTGAACGGGATAGGGATACTTCATTCGGACTCTATATATATGTAAAGGTCTACCTGCATAGATCCCATTCCAGGATTGGGGCCTGATAATGAAGTGAAGTGAAATCTCTGTTCTAAAGAATTTGAGTCTAAAACACAAATGGGTAAAACTAAGTAAAAAGAGTTTCTCCAGATGGTTCTTTTAAATATTTTACTGAAACGCACAGAAAAATCCTTTCATAATACAACTTTATATTACATGACATCTTTCATGCAACTTGTGTCAATTAATTTGCATCAGTTTAACGACATCAGCTACATCGGGGTTCTCAACCTTTTTCTTTTTGAGGCCCTCCCAACATGCTATAAAAACTTCATGGCCCATCTGTGCCACAGCCACTCTTTTTCTGCATATCCAGTAGATGAAAAGCCAGAGCCTGCGTTGGGGGGGCAAGCAGGGCAATTGCCTCCCAGGTCCCCATGCCACAGGGGACCCTGCAAAGCTAAGTTGCTCAGGCTTCGGCTTCAGTGCTGGGTGGTGGGGCTTGGGGCCTTGGGCGTCTGTCCCACGTGGCGAGGCTTGAACTTTCCGCCTTGGGCTCCAGGAAATCTAATGCCGACCCTGCTTGGCAGACCCCCTGAAACCTGCTCGCGGCCCCCCCATGGGGGCCTGGACCCCTGGTTGAGAACTGCTGAGCTACATCAATGTGCAAACCCCTAACATAGTTATGCTACACACAAGTAAAGCATGGTTTACACCAGTATGATTTAATTAGGTATATTACACTGAGACCTCAGGTAAACCATGACTAGATCCCTGCAAATCAGCAGATAGCCGTGGACTATGTTTGCGGATTGCGAATCGGCTGTGGATACAAATTTTGTATCCATGCAGGACGCTAACCATGACCAGGAACAAATGTCTCTCAAATATATATGGAATTAATTGATTGCCAATTAATACTACAAGTTACAGCACAACCAGCAATTCTAGTCTAAACAAGACCAAGAAGACTGGAGCAAGTCCATGAATATTTGAAGAAACAAGTTTAGCAATTTTGAACTACCTTCTGAAGTGAATTTTTGAGGACAAGGCAACGTGGTGATGCTTCTTAACAGATTTTAAGTGTCTCACCTGAATCTTTCAGCAAAAGTCTTAGAAGAGGGGTGTATTATGCTAATAAAATAGAAAACAAGATTCCTGATTACTAACATTCCTCTGCTGTCTAGCAAATATATGTGTAAGCCAAAGTATGTGTCATGTCATGTGGCTGGTCCTCATAGAGGATAGTAGCTTGTTATTGCTACTAGTTAACTCAAATGGTACTTTTGCACTGTGGATCTAATGCTCTTGGGTTCCAGCCCTACTGATGATCTATGCAGGTCAGTATGGCTCAACCTGATGGAATGTTTGTATTTTTTAATTTAAAAAAAAAACACTGGGATATTACATATTTAAAAAAAACTACATTAAAAGAACATTAAGGTCACAAAATCAACCACTCAAAAGTTAGGAAATTCTAGAACTAAGGTTGCCTGAGCAGTTGTAATTCATCCTTCTTTATGTAACATTATGATACAGTCGTTAATTACATGATTACCTATTTGTTTTACTGGATCCCTGCCTCATTTAGTGCACAGGATGGACACTGAATGAGGCAGTGGGTTGCAAGAAGAGAAAGAATGGTCTCCTGCTGTTAAGGCAATTGGACTGGGATTCTGGTGAGCTGAGTTCTCTTTCTGCCACAGTCTTCCTATGTGATATTGGGCAAGACTGTTATAATGCATACGTGAAAAGAGGCTGAATTATGGTTGCCCAGGCAAACGTAATTATGGTATTTCTTAGCTTGAATGCTTGACTTTGCAACCTTAATGTTCTTTTCAGATATTACTGAAAATCATGTGTAGGTGAATGAGAGAATCAAATATAAAAATCATGAGGGATGAGTCCAAAAGCTTGTTTAGGCTTTGGTATCCTAATTCACAATGCTGCAGATTAATATTTATAAATTATTAAACTGGGCCATTTTCATTGTTATGTATTTCAAGCATTCAGTTTTTTCTCCAACAAATACCAAATAGATTAGACCAGTGGTTCTCAACCAGGAGTCCGGGGCCCACTGGGGGGCTACAAGCAGGTTTCAAGGAGTCTGCCAAGAGGAGCCGGCATTAGACTTGCTGGGGCCCAGGGCAGAAAGAAGAATCCCAGCTGTATGGGGCTGAAGCCTGGGGCCGTAAGCCCCACCACCCAAGGCTGACGCTGAAGTCTGAGCAACTAAGCTTTGTGAGGCCCCCTGTGGCGGGGGGCCCCAGGCAGTTGCCCTGATTTCTACCCCCTAATGCTGGCCCTGGCTTTTATATGCAGAAAAATAGTTATTGTGGCACAGGTGGGCTGTGAAGTTTTTGTGGCATGTTGGGGGAGCCTCAGAAAGAAAAAGGTTGAGAACCCCTGGATTAGATCATAATGTGGAGTAATAATTTGCCATTTTTTAAAAATTTTACATTGTTTTACTTGTGTTACGAAAAGTGTACTAAATCTGTGAATTTGAACTAAATTAGATGGTTCGTTTTTAAAAGCCAAATCGTGGGTGTGCTTTTCAAACTGACATGTGCTTCAGTAGTGAATGACCCAGAAGTATCAGAGTACATTCCTTATATGTCAGGCTTCAGCCTAAGGTGAATGTTTTATGACCTAGTACATTCAAGAGCTTTGTGCTGCAAGTGTAGGTGAGACTATACGCTAAAAAGCGATTGTTTTTTAAAAAAAGCTGTTTATTATTTGCTCCATAACACATTTGTTTTGTGTACAATTTTTTTAAAGGATTTTTTCCTCTTTTTTTTTTTTTTTCCCCCTGTTCTGGACAGAGACTTGTATGCTGTAAAGTACCTAGCAGCATACTTGGGGACAATTCATAAACCCTGGTAGTTTATCTCTGGTAGTTATAAGGCAATTTTCACCTGGGCACTTAATCATAAACTGCTATCACCAAATTTTTTTCACTAGGATCCTAAAGTCTAGCTGGGTTATTTCCTTCTTATATATAATTACCAATAAACCTGACCCAAAAGAGTGATGTTACAGGTATACACCTCAATTTATTTTAACTACCACTAATATACATATCAGATGGGTCAAATTAACTGCTGATGATGTGCAAGAAAGTTAGAAAAATCATCATTGTTATTTGTAAACTGAATGACTTTGATAGGGAGTGATTGAGAGACAATAAATTTGGAAGCCCTCAATGTCATATTCTTTCACTTTTTGAAAGTACAAACAGCTTTTATAAAACCCAACCTTTTCTCCCTTGTTACTCTTCATATAGTATTTATGGACATACCAAAAAACTCATGAGTAATTGGTCCCATGTAATTTAGGTCTTTAAATATTTTCTGTTTGGAAGAAGGCACTTATATTTAAAAAGCATAATGTAAAAATGGAAATACAGCTTCTGTACCTTTCACACCTCATAATTTTCACAATAACCCCCAGTCTTCCTGACCATCAAAATTCAAGGGCAAAGAGCTTAAGTGATGTGCAATATTACCATTATTTTAAAAAACATACTACAAAATATTTACTGTTGTACTATGAAGTGTTATATAGTATTAAAACTACACTTGTCAAACTAATAAAGAATATTTTGATGCATTATCCTTATGTTTACATGAGACCAGTAGCTCAAAATGTGAACTGGCTGTGACACCTACAGACACGTATCA